TGTGCACTCAAAGAGCCACCTGCTAGAGGTGACAGAGATTGGGGTGCTCCTCGTCAGAGACCTCGGAGTAATCCCCGAGGGCTGAGGGCGAGCCTGTGTTTGTTCAGGTGTTTCTCTCGGAGCCGCCTTACAGCAGAGATGCGCTGCTTTGCACCAGACTCGCCACCCCAGTCTGAGGGCTCGGCAACTGGACCCACTTCAAAAATGGTATTATTGATAACTAGCACGTGCCAGGGACTGTGCGAAGCAATTTTCCTGCCTGACCTCACTCAATCTTTGCAATAACCCCGTGGAACGCTCTGATCTTTAAAGAGTTTCATGAATCAAAATCGCCCCCCCAAAAAAAACCTTCAATATAAACCTGACTGAAGCTCAGGGGGATTGGAAAATTCACCCTGGTCTTAGGGCAGCTAAGTGGCAGCGCCAGGCAAGCCCGTGGCTTTCTGACTCCAAGGCCCCACCCCCGACCCTGATGGCACTCACCAGTGGCCAGGCACTTGCTGGCATCGCCTGTCTGCGTGGCCCGGATGCGGTACGGAGAGAGCGGGATGTCGTCCCCGCCGTAGGTGACCCCGATGGAATAGCGCCCGGTCTTGTCGGGGATGTAGGTGACGGCATACGTGCCATCTTTGTTGTCCTGGACAACGGCTCGCTTGGGTTTCCCCTCTTGGTCCTGTGGGTCACAGAAAAACACTCCTTCGTGGCATCAGCAAGATGAAGCAGCTTTTCGGGGAAAAGTCGGTGCTCAGTCATTAACCCCTCTAGTGGGAGGGGTGGGGCTTGGTACAATCTTAAGGAGGGGGCAGGTCAGAGAGCCCTTTAACACTGTGACGGTCACCCAAGTTTAAGCCTTGTTCCCGGCCAAGTAAATAGGGATTCTGCACCAAACCCGGGGACATCGCGGGAGATGAGTGCAGCAGAGGCTCTGGCCGGCAAGCCACCGCACCTGCTCTCTGTCCTCTTCAGTAACAGGCCCCACCTCAACTCGCAAATTCAACAGGAATGCAAGGCTTGAGTTCCTAGCCACTAAGTGTGGCTGTGTGACTTTTGACCAACTTTTGTCAAATGAGATGCAAAAGGAAGTCTTATTTTACGAGGGCCTCAGAGAGGGCTGCTTGAAGGCAGGGATACAGTTGGGAAGGTCCCTTGACTCTCCGTTTCCTCCTCCTCCTCCTGGCCTGCCAAGCATATAAGATGGCTGGAACCTTGGCAGCTTTTTTTGTTCCAAGAGGAAAACTTAAGGATAGATACCACGTTATGACCAATAAATCCCGAGTTGGAACCTGTTTCCATCATGAGCCTAGAAGCTACCCAGGTGGCTTAGCCAGGTGGCTTAGAGAAGGCTTCTTTCATGAGCTAAAGTACGATAATTCCAGGTGTGTAAGCCATTCTTATTTGAGCGTTTATGACAGTATGTGCAAAATTTACTGCTAACTGACCCAATGGAAAATTCACACCTCTCAAAATAAAACCACAGAAAGATATGCTACAAAGCAAAATTCAGAAGATTCCCCCGAACCATCCCCTCAGGTGAATGTGTTTATTCTTCTCTGGGTACCGACACTTTGATGGGAACATCTAGTCAACATTTCCATCCAGTCAGGAACAGATGGTTCAAACCCATGTTCTTAGCCCTGGCTTGGAAATGATGTCCTATCACGGAAGTCTGACTCCAGAAAGCAACGCAGCGTTACCGCGATCTGCACAGCAAGCAGGCCTTCCCCGGCGTTTCTGGCATCGATGGCGAACTCCACGGGCAGACTGGCAGGCACACCATAAGAACTGAGGCCGGGCCCGCTGGCCGTCACTTTGCTGGCATCATATGTGGGAAGGACCTTGACCTTAAAGGGACTGACACACACACATCCTGGTCAGGACACACATCAGCCGACCGAGCTTGCAGGGGAACAGCTACAACCAATGGTAAGTTTAGTTTCAGAGCCTCGAGTCCAGCAGACATCTACAGTTACGAGACGGTAACTGGAAGACTGGTTTTACCCTGAGTGTGTTCTAGGCCAGTGGTTCTCAACTTTCCTAATGCCATGACCCTTTCAGACAGCTCCTCATGTTGTGGTGACCCCCCAACCATAAAGCTACTTTTATTGCTACTTTGTCATTGTAATTTTGCGGCTGTGATGAAACGGGCCACCCTGTGAAAGGGTCGTTAGAACCCCCACAGGGGTTGTGACCCACAGGTTGAGAACTGCTGTTGTAGGGCATGCAATTTGGGAAAGAAGAGCTCCCAAATTTGCTCAGAAAACATGGGGTTCAATGCATTTGACACACTTGTTTTGCTACTTTATCTTATCCTCTTATTTTCTACTCTGTTGATAAATTGTACCGTTTTACATAGCTAGAGATGTATGCCAGGAAGCTTTGGTGGCATGGTGATTATACGTTGGGCTGCCAACTACAGGGTCAGCAGTTTGAAACCACCAGCTGCTGTGCAGGAGAAAGATGGGGATTTCTACTCCCGTAACTTGTCCTATAGGGGCACTAAGAGTTGGAAATGACTCGATGTCAGTTAGTCTGGAAAGTTTTGGAAAGCTGTATGTAAGGAAAGGAGCCCTGTTGGCATCGTGGTTATGAGTTGGGCTGCCAACCATAACATTAGCAGTTCAAATCCACCAGTCGTTCCTTGGAAGAAGATGGGACAGTTCAACTGCATCCAATAGAATCAACTGTATGAACCCAGAGGGGCAGTTCTACTGTATCCCATAGAATGAAAATTAATGGCAGTGAGTAAGGAGACACTCGATGAGCTGCTAACTGCAAGGTCAGCCGTTCAAACCCATCAGCCAGGCTTTGGGAGAAAGATGAGGCCGCCTGCTCTCAAAGATTTACAACCTCAGAAAACCTACATAGTGTGTAGGGTCACTATGAGTTAAACTCATGGAGTGGGTTTTTGGTTTATCTTTTTTTTTTTTTAAGAGCTATCTGTATACTTCTATATAAAATAGGAGTATAAGTGAAAATTTTATCTTAAGGAGGGTGATAAAAAACATTTAGAGGCTAAAAAAAACAAAAAAAAAAACATTTAGAGGCTGTTCCAAGAGAGGGCAAGCATAATCAACGCTCCTCGTATCAATCAGAATGAGGAACTAGGTTTATACCCAACACAGGCAGGGGTGGTTGCTGTCAACCAGACCCTCAAGTAAAGAGTAAAACTTGTGGGAAACTGCAGGCGCTGCCTTAAAGAGTTAGATGTAGAGACACCATCTGGGCCAGCAATCCCACCCCCGAGGATCCATCCTAGAGAGGGAAGTAGAAATCTTTGCCCTGGTGAGAAAGCTACTTGTAGGGCTACCAAAAGTCTTTAGCAAATTAACACCCTCCTTATTTCTTCAAAGATACCCAACTCCTTCATTTCAGGTTGCCTTTCAATTAAAGATGGGTGAAGGAACGGGGAGGCGGAGGGGAATTTGGGGTGGTGGTGGAGGAGCCACAAGAGCAAGGGCCACCAACACCCAGGCTACTGTGTGGTAAGACCCATGGTGAGTACACAGGTTCTCGGTGATGATAAATGGATGGGTGGGTGGATGGATGGATGGACTGACGAATGGGCAGGTCACCAGAGTAGTTCTGGGCCTCCCTTGAGCCTGGTGTGGACACTCTCCTCAGGTGTCAGGCCCTCACCTGCGTGGGATTTCTTCATCAGCATACTTGACAGAGATCATGTAAGGTCCTTCCTGGGATGGGGTGTAGGTCACTGTATGTGTGCCGTCGCCATTGTCCATCACAGTCACTGGTTCCACCAGGCCTGAGGACAGAGACAGGAGGTCTGAGAAGTGACCAGGCCTTCCCTTCTCCCTGGGCCCAATTAGAACGGAGCTTATTCTGAGAGCTATCGGTTTCCACGGAAGAGCAACAAAGATAAGCGGCCCCGGATCACAGGTCTAAGGAATCACACGAGCTAGGATCCCCAATTCATGGTTGCAGAAACGACCCCAAGACGCACGTACGCCGGATGTTGGCTGAAGTACACTGGGTCTGCCCTAGAGCGTAATTACGGAGACTGTCTGTGCTTGCTTCTGCACGAGTGCAGTGAAGGTGGGCGGGCAGACAGGGCACATCTTTGCAAGCTGGTTAGGCATGCTGGAGATTTGGCAGTTTTATGCTAGAGCTGAGAAAGGGCCAAAGCATCCAGAACTCTACAGAGCAAAATTAACCAAGGTCTGGCCTGTCTTTTGAACAAAGATCACGATGGGCCAGCAGGCTGGGTGCAGGTGCAGAAGAGGATGGGCAGGGGTGGGGTGGGGTGAGTGACCTCAATGTGACAACACCTGTGGGGGCTGGTTAGAGACTGTGTCAAGGCATCACCAAGGCATGCATTGGGTTGTTAGAGCCCAGATCCAGTTCTGCACGGGAGAGTCCGGGCGGGCCACCTGCAGGCAGGCGCATCAGAGCATGGCACCCTCATTACGCAAAGCGGAGGAGGCAGGCAGCGCAAGCCGATTGTGGAGGGGAGGCCAGCGGGAGGCGAGCGGGTTACATCAGTGAGCGATCAGCCAATAGGAAAATGCAAACCTGTCTCCGTAAAGTCACCCTTCGGGTCACCTTGAAAGAACTCGGAAATGGTTTTCAAGGGGCTGCTCCTGGACTGGGAATCCGTCTCATCAGCTAAAATTAGAAGGTTGTTACTTGAGGGTCGGTCCTCCAGGAGAAAGGCTGGGCTTCAGAAAAGATGGACTAGGAGAGTGTCACTATTCTCTCTCTCTCTCTCTCTCTCTCTTGGAGCTTGGTGGTGGTGTCATGGTTGAATCAGACTCCAGCCCTATGACCTCACTTCCCACAAACCACGTCTGCCCCAGCTTCAAAAGGCATGACCTCCTGCTGAACCCTATTAAGGAGAAGGTTCCTCTTCAAAGGAGGAAGCCCCCACTTTCGACTGCCTCCTGTAGGAGGCTAGGAAAAATCTAGATTATTGAAGAAATCAGGAGCGCGGCACATGTGAAATGTGGTCATTTGCTTTTCAGGCTTTGTCCCCTGGGTGGCTTGCTAACCTTACCAAACCCTAACTCCAGGCTGGCAACTGGGGCAAGTCCAATCACCATTCTCCCCAGAGAGCTGGGATAATGACAGGGCTGCCTGCCCCGGGGGTCCAGTACCTGCCATTTCCAAAGATCCCGGGTCTGTTCCACGTGAGCACCTGGGCAGCCCAGAGAGAGCCAGTAGCTCTGAGCCCATCACCCACCCAGAGCCAGACCAGCCCAGCCACTCCAACACACAGTGAGACAGTGAGAGCAGTGTCAGAGGAGCCAGGCCATACCCCACTTGCTTCACCTAGCCACTTAGAACATAAATACAAAAAGAAATGTGGGGCTGTATTATTGGACGAGGTAGCACTTGGTTGCTAATCAAAAGGTCGGCAGTTCAAATCACACGAGTGGCTCTGCAGGAGCAGTGACCTGGCGATTGATCTGCTCTGTAGAGAAGATGGCCTGGGAAACCTATGGCCTATGGGAGCCTCTCCTGGGCCACATCAGGTCGGTAAGAGTCGGAATCCACGTGGGGACACACAGTGACCATATTATCACATGGGGAAAAGCACAGGCCATGGGAGGGACAGCAGGCCCGCCTGCCTTCATGCAGGAACGTGTACTGTTTAGCTAAAAGAGTGAACCGTCAAGTCATTTAAGAAAGTCAAGGTCACCACCAAAGTGCTCACCTGGGCCAGGAAGACGGCCGTGGGAAACAGGACACATACTCACCTCGTGGGCCCATCACCCGCACTTCCAGCGGGGCCAGGCCGGCTTTGCTGGTGTCCACCGTGAAGGACTGCTGGATGTGGGCTCGGACACCGGAGCCCATCCCGGGATCGGCAATCTTGACCTTGCTGGGGTCCACGACGTCCTTCACAGGCACTCTGAAGGGGCTGCCTGGAAAAGAGGTCACAGGACTTTGAGCACAGCCCACCAACAGCCCAGCGCCTGCCTCATGCGTGCCCAGAAGCACGCCCTCGCTGCAGCCCGAGGTCTAGACTGCAAGCGTCCCTCCAAGCACCCCAGGCTTGGAACGGAAAGCAGCAGGCGGGCCGTTATGAGAGAGGACATCCGTGTACTGTGGGTCCAAGGTGTGGACGGAACATTAAGGAGGCACCGACCTGGTCTTGGGAACCAGAGACAGCATCCCAGTAAGCTGAGACATGCGAGTGGGCAGGTTTTACCCAGGAAGCAGCTGGAATGGTGTTTTAAACAGAGAGCTCAGCAGGTGCAGAGGCCTGGAGGTGGGGGAGAAGGCAGGCAGTGGAAGGGATTGAGAGAGGAAGCTGGGGTGGGGGCAGGGAGTAGAAAGGACTGGAGAGAGGGCCCACTCCCACAAATGGAATCCTCTTTCTAGTGGAGCAGGCACCGCTGAGCACACAAGGCCGTTTAGGTTCCCTGGCCATCAGGAGGCGCTCTGCTCAGCCCCTCAGCAGGGCTGACTCTACGGGGGACCATAGGGGTGGCTGGCCCTTTGAGGGTGCTGCTTTTAGGACCGATGACATGTGGTGAATGTAGGGCGATCTGTGTTTGCGAGAGAAGCAGTAATGGAGCCAGAGAGACTGACGAGATTTCCTCCAGGAGAGGCACATGAAGCTGCTCCCAGAGACAAGCATCCTAGTGTCCCAGCATCATGCCTTGACCACCACCATGCAGCCGACTGTCCCTCATGAAGTGTGGCAAAGTTAAGGTGGACCAGGAAGAAAGGCCTGGCGATCCACTCCCCCAAATCAGCCAATGATGCTTCTATGGCCTCTTGGAGGGGCAACAAGTGCTAGTCGAATAACATAGTTCACAAACACAACTTCTCACAGCCTGCTTTGGTGAGTAGTGTCTGGGATCTTCACAGCTGATGAGCAGCTGCTCTAAGGTGTGGTCATCGGTCCATCTCTGTCTGGCGCGAAGAAGAGCGACGGAAATGGAAAGCCGCACAAGAGCAATTTGTCCTAGGCACTAGTGGATTGCACAAACATCAGTCTCCATCCCTGAGACCAGCAGGACTAGATGGTGCTCGACTGCACTACCAACAGCTCTGGAAAGGATCGCATTGGAAGCTCCTGGATAGAGTGGGAGAAACATGTGGACCAAGACTCAAAGCCATAAGGGATCAGACCTACTGGGTGAACAGACTATGGCCCTAACCCTTTAGGTCTAGAACCGAACTCCCCCCCCACCCCCACCCCCGTGGTAGGGTAATCAACAATTCAGAGCAAGGGGTAGCATTTACCCAAGGGCAATGTCCAGAGGGTTGGGGAAGGAGCAGAGGAGACACAGGGAGGAAATGAGTACGTGGCGATACACGGGGGATCCCAACCGACAAACGGACAGAAAACGTGTATGAACTGTTCAATATAAACCTGGTGACCAGCTCTGTAAACCTCTGCCTAATGGCCCCATCTATAATCAATGAGGAGGACAGGGCGGGGTGTTGCCATGAGTTGGTGGCCAACACAAGGCAGCTATGAGCAACTGCCATGAACGCTGAAGTGTCTCTGCTCCCTGTCACAGGAAGTTTCCACTCTGGGCTGGGGTGTCACAGAACCAAGGCTACACAAAGGCAGCCGAACCCTGACTTTCTAACAAGAGTTGGGTTTCAGTGGGTCAAGGGCATCTAACCTTGGCAACGGCAAGTACACGCAGGCCCTTTCTGTGGGTTAGTAAGACAAAAGGGAATTCTATCTACAGAGTGACACTGCGGATTCCAATGTACGCAGGTGACAACAGACAACCTCTGAGCCCACATACAAGTCAGAATCCCCATCGAGGGTGCCCATCTTAACACATGGGCAGCTAAGAACCAACAAGCAGAGGTAAACGGATTTAGGTCTATGATGGTGAATTCAGAGCATTATCTGCCACTTGCCCCACTCCATGCCCTCGCAGACAGTATTAATCGATCACAGCAGCCCTTCTTCCTGATGTGCTCTGAGTCCGAGGCCATCCAGTGTTCTAGGCAGTCCTACCAACAGACTACAGTTACCCTACCATAGGAAGCCAATATGCCATCCTTGTTAAAGCAGAACGCTTTGTGTAAAGTAACACCAGGTTTATGCCGGGTCAGGAGAAACTAGGCTAATATGAAATCACCCAGAATCCCCAAGGAAGCAAACCAGAAGCTGTCGGGTTACTAAATGCTCCACAGAACCACCTCCCAAGTAAGGCTACCAACTAATATTTTATTAAATACAACAGCCTGGGAAAGTTCTGGGGTCAGGAAGGGCTGGCAGTCTTGTTGGAGAGAGAACGGATTCTGAAGCCCAGAGGAGCTCTCCACAGCTGGTGGGAAAGCCCCCAAGGAGGTCTCTCTCTCTCTCTCTCTCTCTCTCTCTCTGTGCGTGAAGACAGCCATTTGCCTCAAGTTCATGGGTCAGCCAAAAGGGCTCAAGTCCTCAAGCCCTTCTGTAAGGGGAATTCCTAAGCTGGGAGCACCCAGCTGACTTTTCCCGTCAAAACAGCTCTGTGGTTTCAACAACCCGAAGACACTTGTCTCCGATACCTTCTGCCTGGTCCGAGCAGCTGTATCTTCTCTTCTAAGAACAGCCTTTCAACCTAACCTCGGTGTCCCACTCCCTCTCCACCCAAGGGCTGCAGGGCTGCAACATTGAAACAGGATGTCACTGGGCACCCCTCAGTGCTGGTAACCCACGTCTTAATCCCACACGCACCACAGCGAGCTTTCCCACAGGACACCGTGCACCTGCCTTGTCCACTGATGAATTCGCCTTAGTGGGGCTCTGCCCTAGTCACTGAGCTGCTGCTAGCCACTAGGTCAGCAGTTCAAAGACACCAGCTAGCTGCTCCTTAGGAGAAAGACTTGGCTGTGTGTTCCCATAAAGATTTACAGCCTTGGAAACCCTACAAAAGGTCGTCGTGAGTCAGAATCGCTTCATTGGCAATGGGTGTTTGAGTGCTTATAGAACAAACGTTAATGTATCTTGAATGAGCTACAAGGACAAATTTGAGGGGAATCGCAAAACAAGCAAACAAACAAAAAACCACACTGCCGTTGAGTGGATGCCGTCTCATAGCAACCCTGGAAGAGAGGATAGAACTACCCCTGTGGGTTTCCGAGACTGTAACTCTATGGGAAGAGAAAGCACCTGACTTTCTCCCCTGAAGCAGCTGGTGGTTTCGAACTGCTGACCCTGAGGATTGCAGCACAACACGGAACTGCTGTGGTGGCACCAGGGCTCCCTTGAGAGGAAATAGGTTGTTTTAAATCAGCATCTGAGTAGAACTCATTTGATTTCAATGTCAGTGCTTTCCGATGAGTGTGAAGGAAGAATGGGAGAGGGCACACGCAGATGCACATTTGCACTTGTTAAAAGGAGAAGAGTGTGCAGAACCAGCACAGTGGGTGGTCAGTGGGCAACTCAGGTCATCCAGATCCCCAGCTGCTTCCCCTCTCAGCCTCGCCCCAGTTTACGGCCTCCAAGCATAACACTGACCCATCACAACCTCTTCCTGCCCCGCCGTTTCGGAAGGTCTGCCGCTGTCCTGCCACACCTGAGACACGGTGTCAGTGACGTACAACAGTCCTGGGGTCCTCGGCTTGTGTTTGCACAGAACCCCACCCTCACCGGCCCTCTCAGCAGAGTTTCTGCCCCTGGAGGCTGACATTGGGGGGCCCTTCACTACTCTAGTCACACTGTTTTTCACTGTCAGAATCCTTGACAGCCAGGACTCTCGATCAGGCCAGGCTTTTTCCCCTCCAGGGACACCTGGGAATGGCTGGAGACATTGAATTGTCCAGACTGGGAGTGAGGTGCTCCTGGAACTGATGCATAGAGACCAGGGACATACGCACACTGCACAGGGCCGTCGCCAAACAAATAATCTTCCAACCCCAATGCCAATGGTGCTGAAGGAGACCATCTCTACTTTATAGGATGCACACACTCTGCTGTGCGATGGAAGAAAAGTGTAAAAACAAGCATCCAACTTCATGGGTCTCTATCCGCTACCAGGGTTGCCAAGAGAAGAAAGAAAACCCCACCAACAGGAAGCAAAGTCTACCTCCCTGTTGGATGAGAACGGAGCACAAACCAAAGCAAAATTGTCTGTCTTAGAAGGACCCAGCTTTCCCGGAAATCAAGAACTAGGTCCTTTAGTGAATGCCACACATCCGTTTCTAGTCGAAACGCCAACCGATCACTTTTTTGCCATGTTACAAAATAAAGTGCCAACTCTATTTTATGCTTCAGATGTTATTGGTCCCACTGGGATTGGAAGACTCTTGGCAAAGAGTCCCTGGGGGAGACCAGCAAACTCAAATCTACTCTCCTGCAGTAAATAGCAAGTATAGCTTACCAGGGATGTGGGCTCCTCCGTATGTGATATTAACGTCGTAATCGCCCGCAGCAAAGGGGATGTACTCCGCACTGCAGCTGCCGTCTTTGTTGTCCCTGCAGTTTATCTTCGACTCTGACGGTCCCTCCACAGTTATGCCAAGCCCACCAATGCCTGCTCCTCTGCAGAGCGTGGGAGAGGAAGCCAAGGGAAGTGGGACTCAGGCTAGTTCATACGACTCACTTAACACCCCTGTATAAGGCACCCCGTCGAGCCAACCCAACTCAAGGACTGTGACCCTGCCCCTCTGACCTCTCTCTCCCTGTTGCTGCTGTGTGCTGGTGAGTCTGATTCTAACTCACGGTGACCTTATACGACAGGGCTGGCTGCTCCGTAAGGTTTTCCTAGGCTGTTAACTTGAACCAAAAGGTCAAGTTCAAACCCACTCCCACCCTGTGAGTCAAGGATGTGGCTTCTGTTAAGATTTATGGCTTGGGAAACCCCAGTTCTGCTGTCGAATGGGGCCATTATGAGTCAGAACCGACCTGAGGGCAGCAGCATCTTCCCTGGGACAGATCAGCTGAGGGCCAAGAGGGTGAAGTTCAATATAAATAAAGAGAGCTTTGGCCTCCCCTTTCCATCATTTATCCTTCATTTGTTTCTCTATCTGAGTGCCTTGGTCAGGAACTTCAAGTACAATGCAGGCATGTGTCTTGTGACCAGTTTTCACAGGCATGTGTATAATGTCTCACTGAAGTACCAGACTGGCAACGTTAACTCTGCCTTGCCAAGTGAAGGAGCCTCCAACCAGTACTGGTTTACGAAATAGCTTTATGACTACCATCAACATCGTTTCGTACCTTTACGCCATTCCTGGTCATTCCCTGTAACATCTATCTCTTCACAAAAGAGGCGTCGATATCATGGAGGCGGGTGGGGGGGATAACCCCTTTCCCAAAGTTTGGGACCTAAGCGCTTGTGTAGAATACACCCATAATAAAACATCTTGAACACACAGACCCCAGGGCTGGCTCACCTGGTGACCACAGTGAAGACGTTGGGCTTGTGGGTAAAGGCCTCTTTCAATCCAGGTCCTCGGGCTTCAACCCGGGATGGCTGGCAGCCCTCGGTTACAGCCACTTTGAAGGGACTGTTTGGGATGGGCACATCGTCGTACGTCACCTCCACGATGTGCAGGCCTGTTTACAACAACAGACAACATTTACAACAACAGACAACATTTACAACAACAGACAACACACTGTTTTCATGTGTGTCACCTATAGGTGGAAACGACACTCTACTCCGGGGAACGAGCTTACATGCAGGTCTGAGTATGTACGCTATGTTACCCGAATGAGCAGGCTGAAAGGCAGTAATGAGAGTATTCTCAGATTAAATATAAATATCAACGCCCTATGCTCTGTTCACGTGGTAGTCACCCAGCCCTCCCTGTTGGCAGGGGGCTCCCCAAAGCAAATGCCACTCACTCTGTATTCAGGTCAGCCCATCTCAAACACAGTATCCTGACTTCACCCAGCCATTAACCAAGAGACAGAGGGGACGCCCCGAAACAGAAGAGGACCCAAATCCACGAAACACTGAGAATGCCTCCATTGAAAATGCATGGGAAACGGGGCGTGTGAGGCTCTAAGGCAGTGGTTCTCAACCTTCCTAATGCTGAGACCCTTTTATACAGTTCCTCATGCTGTGGGGACCCCCCAACCATAACATTATTCTCGTTACTACTTCCCAACTGTCATTTTGCTACTGTGATGAATCGGGTGACCCCTGTGAGAGGGTCGTTCGACCTGCAAAGGGGTCTCGACCCACAGGTTGAGAACCACTGCTCTAAGGGCTTTTGCTTTATGCTCCTGTTTTATCCAAATGTCTTGTTGCAATTCTTAATATTCAGGAATGAAGTTAATACATTATAGGGTGGCAGCGCATCCCCCCCATGCCCTGCTCAGTCAGTCTGAGGCTCTGTACACCCCGGCCATCAGCCATGCACTAGCGTCAGGCAGCCAGGCCCGGAGCAGCAGGGCCCCTGCGGGAGAGGAAAGCATCTGCATCGCCTGTCTCCCACAACGAGCCTCCGCTGAGTCAGGCTGCGTGGACAGGGCAGGTGTTGGCGCCAGCCATCGGGAGAAAACCCGCCAAGCTCAATCAGAACGGGCACCAGGTCCCAGGAGAGGGCGGCTCACCTTTCTCAAAGGGCGTGTACTCCACCTGGTAGGTCCCGTCAGCATTGTCTGTGACGAAGCACTCGGTGGCAGCCCCTGAGGGGTTGGCAATGTGGGCCTTGATGTGGTCCCCTCCGACCTGGGTCAGGGTCCGCGAGTCCACTGTGAAGTCGGTGGTGGCTTCTCGAAACACATCTGCAGAGCAGACAGACAGACAGACGAGGAGGTCATCAACACCGCAGACCCAGGAGCAACCTCAGGGCCAAGGCTCTTGGCACTTCAGAACCAATCTCAGTGGCCTGGAGTCAATGCTGACTCATAGCAACCCTGTGGGTTTCCGAGATTGCAACTGCCCAGTGGAGTGGAAAGCCCAGCCTTTCTCCTGTGGAGCTGCTGGTGGTTTCGAACTGCCGACCATGCAGTGGCAGCCCAACATGTAACCATGACACCACCAGGGCTCCTGTTGGCACTTTTGAACACCGAGTCCACTGGCACCGAGCCCATCCTGACTCAGAGCAATCCTATACAGGAGTTGGGGAGCAGCCAGCCTTCATCTTCCTCTCCTGTAGTGGTTGGTGGGCTTGAACCACTGAAGTAGGCCAATGCTCCATCCACACCAGGGGTCCTCAACCATTCTGCATAATCCCAGCAAAGGCAGACAGCTGATTTGTCTGGCTCTCAACATCAGAACTGTTACCCCAGCCTTTCTCAAACCTGACCCCAATGCCTACAAAGCCCCTTCCAGGGTTTTCTGGATCAGGAGACCCCCACACCCTCCCTCACCCTTCTGGGGACCAGGTTGGGGCTAGGGCAGGTTAGAGAGTGGATGGACATCTGCTCCGTGGCACTTGTGGGCTTAGCCAGCACAGTGTTTTCGACTTTTGTCAAGTAGTGGACGCTCAGCCAGCACTGCTTTCCACATCTGAATACACTGCCTTTCCATGTACCAGTCAGGGTCTTTGGCTTCTCCTGAAAAAGCGGGTGCCCATGGCTGGACCCCTTCCCCTTGCAGGAACAGAAGTGGGAGTCAGGCAGCTGCTCAGCATCTGGAAATGTACCGGGCTCACCCTTAGGCTCTGGTCTCCCCATGCCCCCTGACACAGGGGTCTCCCTGGGAGCACGTCCCTACATCCCGCTGGGCCCTATCGGCCCCTGAGTTTGCAGCCCTGTTCAGGGGGTGGGGCGGGCGGTAGGGAGGGTTTCTATCAGCCCTTAGACCTCTCTCTCTCTTTAAGAGGCTCACCTTTCCCTTCTATCCCTGGCCCAAAGACCTTGACCCTGCTGGTGTCGATGGCAGGCTCGACCTTGACCCGGGCAGGGAAGCGCGGGACGGGCTCCCCGCCGTACTTCATGGTCAGCGTGTACATGCCGGCGGTCAGGGGCACGTAGGTCACTGCGTAGGTGCCGTCTTTGTTGTTCTGAATACTGACTTCTGCTCTCGCTCCCGCGTCCGAGACGGCCTCCAGGCCCAGGGCCCCAGGCCCTGCTTCCGAACAGTCGACGCTAAGCAGCCCGGCTTCACCCACTTTTCCAGGCTCCAGACCCGGGCCGGACACCACCACCTTGGAGGGGTCGAAGGGCATCTCGATGTCGGCTTTGAAGGGAGAGCCAGGAATGTGAACGTCTTCGAAGAGGATGTTGACAAAGTACTCCCCGGGCTTGGTGGGCAGGTAGGAGACCGAGCAGGTCCCGTCGCCGTTGTCGGAGCACTCGATCTTGGCCTCGCACGGGCCCTCCACCGTGAGGCCCAAACCACCCGTGCCGGCTCCTTTGGTGTCGATGGTGAACTCGGCAGGCTTGCCCACAAGGCCGCCTTGGAGGCCAGGCCCATGGGCCTTCACCTAAGCGGAGAGAGGGCAAAGGTCAGCGTCTCCCTGGCCCGAACACGGACACTCAGGCAGCGCTGCTTCCCACATCTGCAATCCTGCACTTCACGGTGAGCGCGGGGTCCTCCCCCAGGGTCGAACTCACGTCTGGCTGCCGCTCTCTCACACAGCCACACTGTATACACATTGCAGCAAAGGGCTGTGGGACACGCTGGGTGTGAGCTCAATCACATGGCTTCCTGCTGAAGAGTTGAGAGGCCCTTAGAGGGCAGGCACCTCCATAACCCTTTCTCCTGCTGCTCCTGGCTATTGGCTGGAGACCCCAGGTGAGCTACCTGGCTATGCGCTCTCAGAAAGGCCTTCGCCGCCCTCACTGCTGCTTTGCTGGCTGTATCTCGCTCAGCAACTTCTATGCAACAACCACAAGAAGACGCAAAAGCCGTTTTTAACGCAAGGGCCGTGATGAGGGCCCCCGCTCACCCTCTGAGTGCACCCTTCACAGGTTGGCTTTGGATCAAGTACTGTAATTACTCAGACAGATGAGGGACTGTTACTCGGGGCTGGGAGGGTAAGAAGAGGGGCAGGGGCCCCTCCCACCTACTCAGGGGACCGTGTTCTTACCCTACAAGCTGAATTACAGAATAAAGAACTGCTGCCGGCCCCTGGGGGCTGACGGTGGTCATCACAACCTGGCTTTTAAAGACAGGAGCAGAGAGACACAGTGCTCTATGAGGCAAACCAGAAAGTACTGCCAACAAACCAGAGGTATTTTTAAAAGGCGAAGCTTTTGTTTCTCGGCATATCCATCGAGGTCAGGACACTTCTGGGGCTGGGGCTTCTGTCTTTCTGAACCTTTCCCAGTGGAATCTGATGTCCTCTGATTTACACCATGCCAACGTGGCAAATTTGACACTCACATCGGGATCCTTTGATATAAAAAGCAGTCTGAAGAGGCAAGATCGGGGCTGGGAGGGAATGGGGCAAGGCTTCCCAATTCCCAGCATCGCAGAGGACAGCCCTGGCTACACTGGATAAAAAAAGTTCTCTGTGGAATTTCCTGGCCATTTTCTCACCTACACAGTCTTCCATCCCCCTAAACATCTCCCTAATAAGCCTCTGGGATGTGTCCCATGTTCTCAGAAAATCTCTCAAGATTCCTCCTGTGGAGCTCCAGGTAACAGCTGCCATTGCCCTCCAAGCCGATCTCTCTGCCTGGAATTGACCTGGCCCAGCAGAGCCGCGAGAAGGCCCTGTGCTGGTCGGACCTCGTTTAGAAGGCACCTTCAAGAGACTACGACAAGTGTGTTCCTGAGAGAACTCACCTGCCGTCACCCTCGGAGCGCAGACATGTATAAGCACGCTTGACCTGGAATGAGCCTGTGTGTCTATGTGCTGGAACCCTGTGGCTGTGCCTTCTGATGTGAGAGAATGAGAAGCCATGCCACGGACACACACACACACACACACACACACTCACACACACTCACACATACACACACACACTCTCACACACACACGCGCGCACACACACACACACACTGAGTTGCCAGCTCTTGGGTCTGACCTTGCTGGGGTCTGGCGGCAGGGAGGCGTCCACTGTGTAAGGGCTCCCGGGCACGGGGTGTCCATCGTAGGTCACGTCGACGGCATAGAGCCCCTCCTCCCGAGGGATGAACTTGGCTGTGCTGCTCTCCCGGCCGGCCACAGGCGCCACCAGGCATGGCACGACCTTCCGAGAGGGACTAAGGATGGTCACGTCCAGTTTCCCCTGGCCTCCAGCTCCCTTGGTGTCAACGGCGAACTCCTGGTCCTTCCCAACTTCCACTCCTGTGAAAGAGGAGCAAGCCTAAGTGAGCGGCTGACCCTTTCCTGAGCAGGAGGGAACATGCAGGGCAGGGACACAGTGGCTCCTAGGGAAGAGACAGCTATGTTGGTCTCAACGGCCAGTACTGTCCTTCTCCAGTGGCCAGTCCAGTGGAAGGCCAGCTAGGCGAGGGACACTTGTGGTGAGATGGACGGACACAATGGCCTGAGATGGATGCAGAGAGCTCAGGGATGGCTTGGGACCCAGCGGCGTCAGGCTGTAGTGCACACAAGGCCGCCACGAGGGAGTGCAGACCCAACAGCAGCCAACAAGTCCCGCGGGCGAGGGCGGAGCGGAGGCTAAGCAACAGGACGAGCTCGGACAGCGGGCCCCTCAGCCTCACTAGCACCCAGAGCGAGGCTGTCATTCATGACGGTGATGAGAACAGCTGGCATAGTCACCGACGGTTTTTACACCCAGACATCTTCCCTTCACTGTCATCACCCCCCTGTGGGGTAATGGCTATTAACCACTGACTGAAACAGGGAAACTGAGGCTCAAGGGGCTTACAGAGCTTGTCCAGGGCTGCCTGTCCACCAAGCAGCCATGCTGGGAACGCAACCTACATTCACCTAACCTCCCAGGCGACTTTGCTGACCGCCAGATGACAGCCTGACACGGTCCTCTCGGGGGTTGATTTTGCATCCAAACAGCCCGTAAACCCTGTTTGGTTTACTTTTTCCTTCTGGGCAGCAAATTCAGTCCTGTCACTCCCCACAGAGAAGGTGACAGTGGGAGAGCTAGCAAACCCGGGGCACTGAAGTCTGCTGAGAGCTAGCTCACTGGGCCACAAGGACTTTGGCAGATCCCTGCAAAGAGGCACCACAGGAGAGGTCATTCGGCTTGATTACAGCGGTTGGCTTGTTTGGAAGCGCAGCAAGGTAGGCATGAAGCCCCGCAGCCCAAAGGGCAAGAGGCTGTCCCTGATGGGCATGTGCTTTTCCTGCTCTGGTGCTGAAACCCAAGCGTCTTAGAGAAAGGAATGATAAGGTAAGAGGGCTGGAGAGAGCGAGAGAGCGAGAGCGAGAGCGAGAGAGAGAGAGAGAGAGAGAGAGAGGTCACACACTCAGCGCTGGTGGCCCTCCAGGGGGGCAGCCTCACTGGAAGGTATCCCCCTGGCCCTGTGTGCCCCTGAGACCCTGAGGTGCATGGCCTCTGAGCGGTCAGCAGCAGGGATCAATGTGGGAAGCACACACTGAAATGATGGGACAGCCAGGCAACTACAGCACACAGTGCAACTGCCCACTGCTCCCACATGCCTTCTTGCTGTGAGATGCTGCTGAGTGGACTCTGAGGAAGTCCCCATTTTCACGGAGGAGAACTGTCCCGAGGGATTTTCAGGGCTGTAATCTACACACGGGGGTTCAGACAAGAGAATCCTACACCATTCGACCAACAGAGTCTCTACATGTTGTCGACTGGCCCCAAACCGGGCTGTCAGGTCAGTTCCAACTCATACTAAGCCCACGTGTGTCAGCGTACGATTGGGCACCATGAGGTTTTCTGAGGCTGAGTCTGTGGATGATCACCAGTCCTTTCTTCCAAGGTGCCTTGGGTGGGCTCACCCTCTCCGTTAGCAGCTGAGCAGGTTAACCGTTTACACCACCTAGGGACTCCATCTATAAGTATACAGGTTGTCTCCAGGTTGCAAACTACATGTGTTCCTCGGTGGGTCTTTAAGGAGCATTTGTAGATAAGCAGGAGCAGGTACAAGGAGCCCTGATAGCGTAGCAGGTCACCCATTGGGCTGTTGCACCCCCACCTGCTCTGCGGGGAAAGATGAGTCTTTCTACTCCCATAAAAAGATACAGCCTCGGAAACCCACAGGGGCAGTTCTACTTTGTCCTATAGCAGCGGTTCTCAACCTGTGGGTCAAGACCCCTTTGGGAGGGTCAAAGGACCCTTTCACAGGGGTCGCCCGATTCATAACAGTAGCAAACTTACAGTGATGAAGTAGCAACGAAAACAATTTTATGGTTGTGGGGTCACCACCCCATGAGGAACTGTGTTAAAGGGTCGCAGCATGAGGAAGGTTGAGAACCACTGTCCTATAGGGTCCCTAGGAGTCGGAATTGACGTGATGACGTTGAGTGCGCCTTGGGTTTGAGGAACAAGAGCAGCAGCTCTTATTGGGCTGGACTTTAGTGCAAGCGCAGGCCTTGCAAGTGAAGCCCTCTCAGCAACTGAAAAGCTGCACCAGCATCAAGGGTAGGAGACTGTGAGGAAGAGTTTGTTGTGAGTAGCACTAAAGGGCAAGTAGGCATTGAGTATATGTGACCCTGTGGACACACACAGAAAATAGGCCTGGAGAATAGAAACGGCATGGCTGCCTCTGGTTAACCCTTGGGAGAGAGGAGAGGGGCAGCGTGAAGCATGCTCCAGTGCATGTGCTGAAATATAAGCAGACAGGATAATGCTGAGGTGGAAAGTGGGCGTGTGTTACTTGTCTCCCACAAAGAGAACTGACTGTAAGACTAAGGGCTGAACTCCCTCCTGAAGCTGGGGGCTAAGTCATGTGGATGTTCAGATTATACGATTCTCTCTACTTTTATAAGTTTAGAATTCGCCATCATTTAAAAAGAGTGGAAAGTGAGGTTAAAAATGAATGCGGTATCTTTGAATAACAAGATACTGAGTAATAGTCTATATGCAAAACCAGCACTCGACATGGAGAGTTCAGGGGTGAAATGGGAAAGAGCTGTAACCCAGCATAGCGTACTGTACCGTCAAAGAGAAGCATTGCTCATGCAGGAGATACAGTTCTGTACAAGGAGATACACCGGCCAATGAAAATGTTGGTATCATTCATCAATTGCCTTCATAGTCTATATTATTTATCGCCTCCTGTTGCTTTGTAGTAATTCGCATTCAAGTGTAGAGCAACAGGAATTGACGCCTTTGGATTACAGCTATGTATTTTCACACATGGGTGAAGATGTACGGAACAAATCTGCTTCCCGTTCAACAAAGCCTATGCATTCTGGTTCGACCCATCGGCGGACCAGCCCCCTAGCACCACGGGCTCTTCCTGCCCTCTCTGGTTCCCACTCGCCCGCCCTTCTCTCCTGCCCTTTCCTGCTATCTGAGCTCTGCTTCTCTGCTGGGTTGGAATTTGTTAATAGTTCATCCTGTTGGGCCTCCAGTAGTTTTACAAGCACTTATCTCATTAATTACGGTTTTATTTATTTTATTTTTAATTAAATAATCATTTTATTAGGGGCTCGTATAACTCATCACAATGCGTACATACATCATTTGTGTCCAGCATATTAGTACATATGTTGACTTCATCATTCTCACAACACCCGCTTTCCACTTGAGCCCTTGGTGTGAGCTCATTTTCCCCCCTCTCTCCCAGGCCCCCCACTCCCCCTGAACCCTTGATAATTTAGAAATTATTATTATTTTATCATATCTTACCCCATCTAACGTCTCCCTCACCCACTTCTCTGCTGTCCATCCCCCAGGGAGGAGGCCATATGTAGACCTTGTCATCTGTTCCCCCTTTCTCCCTCACCTTCCCTCCACCCTCCCGCTATCACCACTCTCTCCACTGGTCCTGGGGGGTTCGTCAGTCCTGGGTTCACTGTATTTCCAGTTCCTATCTGTGCCAGTGTACATCCTCCGGTCCAGCCAGATATGTAAGGCAGAATTGGGATCATGGTGGGGAGGGGGGAGCATTTAAGAACTAGAGGAGCAAATCAAAGCGCAGTGTAGTAACGATGAAATATGAAATTTTCCTCTACTTTTTGGTTTTTACACTCAAAAAAAGGAAAGGGAAAAGAAAATCCAGAAACGAGCCTGTATTAATAAGAAACCTAATCTGCTAAGGAAATAGTAGGCTGGGTGGGTGCACTCTGGTCTCTGGGCACCAAGGTGCTGGCTTTTATGCCACTGTCAACCTTCATGTAAACAACTTGGCCCAGGACAGTGCCCACAGCGGAACAGAGCTCACCAGAGAGCAATAGGCCCCAATTTCTCTTTGTAATAACATCTTCCCGCTCGCAAAGCCGGCAGTCTGACGACTCGCCGGAGATCCTGATTGATGGGCTCGTGTTGCAATATCCCTTCATAGGGTTTACTGGCCACCCCCAGCCCCATTTTACACGAGAGGAAACTGAGGGTGGTGAGGTTAAGTGGCAGGTAGTGCCACTAAGCGATTCCACAGCAAGGCCCAAGTCTGGCTGCACAGTGCTCCAGACAGAATGGGCTGCCCTGCAAAGCTCGCCTTCTGAAGGCAATCTAACCGACCGACCGGCCAGTTTGGGAGTCTTCCACTACCTGCATCTCCCCTCCATCCCCGCACTTACTGTTTTCCAGCCCATGAATTTTTATCTTGCTCAGATCCAGCGGAGCAGCAATGCCCACGGTGAAAGGGCTCTTAGGGATGGGGTCCCCGCCGTACGTCACCAGAACCTGCATGCTGCCCTGGAAGAAGAAGGAGAGTGGAATCACCTGCGGCCAGGAGCACACTTGCCTGCCATGGGCAGTTGCCCTGAGCAAATCTTTCATTCTTCCCCAGAGACCCAGGGCTTCTTAACACCAGTGCATTTAGAAAGCACCCATGATGTCCAAGTGTTTGGCCAGGGCGAGAATGACAGAGAGCGTGGGGAGGAGCCACCAGCAAATCGGTCACTGTCAAGTCAACATCCACTCGTGGCAGTCAGCTTGTTCCAAGTGTCAAACTGGAACTGTTTCCTGCAAGAGCCTCTCACTTGCTGGGGAAGTCAATCACCAGGCCTTTCTTCCACGTTGCCCTCCGGTGGACTTGAACCTCTAGCCTCCTGGTTGGCAGTCTAGTGCATTCACTGTGTACACCGCCCAGGACTCCTGACAAAATGGGCTCAGCGCATATCAGAACAACTCCAAGAAACGTGTACTACGTGTCAAGCACTGCCCTGGCTGCCTGTATGTGCTTCTCAAATCAGTCAGAAGAGGTAGCTCCATTGTTGACACATGTTCGAGGACACAGAACTACACTTCGGGGAGGTGGTCACTTGCCCTTAATCACAGACCTGCTAAATGCAAGTGCTGGGTACGACACCCATGGCGCCCAACCTTGTGCTCCCAGCCGCTCCGCTTAACAATCTCCTCACCCACATACACACACAGCCCGCCACGGGGGTGGGGGGGTGGGGGGGTGGGGGTGGGTGGAGGATGAAGAGGGCGGTGGCACTTCCGTGAACAGAATTGGCTTTTCCACACCCACGAGACTGCAAAAGCGATTTGCAAGTTGACCTAAAACCATCTCTCTGGGTACCTGAAATGGCAAACATCGATCTCCGTGTCAGGAAAAGGAAAAATGCAAGTGTGGAGTGGGGGTGGGGGTGGGGGGCGTGCGGTAGGCCTCCCCACGGCTGGCAGCAGCCCCTTGCAGGGCCATGTGTGCCGCTGTTGTTCAGCCTGGCCTGTGCTGGCCCCGCTCCAGGCTGGCTTCCTCTCTCCACGCCCCGCTGACTCCCCCCTGCAAACTCAGCTCCATGAAAGCCCATGGCTGTCTCAGTCCATGAAGATCCCCCTCGCTTCAAACTCTGAGGCATACATTACGAGGATGTGGAAGGGAAGGGGGAAATGGGTGAGGGAGAAACGATCAGGACCCTACTCTCGCCCCCAGGAACCCAGTGGGCTTGCTGGAATCCGGCCCCTGCTGAAAAAAAGTGGTGGCTGGCCAAATGTTAAAAGGCATTGGGGATTTTTCTTTTGGGGGGAGGGGGTGTCTCCGTATATTTTCTCACCTAGAAAGGGAGGGGGCCGCTAAGCTGTGGAGGAGGGTGGTTCTAACAATGGAGGAGGGAGGATAGGCTTCCCAGGATTTATTATAAACCGACGCTCCCTGCATGCAGATGTAACGTTGCCTGTTTCCTGAAGGGCCAACGTCTCTCTCACAGGAGAGGTCTCTGCTGGGGAATCCTTGCAGGTGGGGACTTACTGCAGCCATGCGGCAGGTCTGTAGAGGCTTCCTAACTCTCCAGGGCGCTCCTCCTGCAGAAATCTCCCACCCTTGAATCAGGCTAAGGGAGTTGGGGGTTCCTTCTCCAGTTAAGCCTACCGTCCCCATAAAGGCTAGTGTTCTCATTCAGCCCCCCCCTACCCCCCCACTGCCAAGTCAGTTCCGCTTCATTCGATGCTATCAGGCAATGCAGAACTGCCCCCACAGGGTTTCCATGGCTACAGGTCTTTACAGAAGCTGACCGCCTCGTCTTTCCCCTTGGGGAGCGGCTGGTGGGGTCAAACCGGCAACCTTTCAAGTTAGCTAGTGAGCAGTACTTAACCACCCTGCCACCAAGGCTCCTTTGTTCTCACTTCTAGTCATGGGGGGAAAATATTGAAGCCACTCTCCTTTAAATACACCTAAATAAGTAACATCACTACACCTAAAAAAACACCACTCTACCTGCCTGGAAAGGAAGGGGAACGAAAGACTCCGGTGCGGCCCCCACCCCGGGCCCCCACCCCGAGGCATTAGCTAAGATACCAGACACTATTCTCTGAGGGCTGTGGAGTGCGGGTGTCTGAGCTGTGGTCACTGTGGGGTTCAGGGACACAGCCCTGGCTGCCGGATCACTTGAGTCTCCCTCCCACATGCTCCCGAGACTTTAATCTGCAAACCACATGCTCGTGAGACAGCACTCAGCAGCTCAGGGAAGATGGGCCAAGAGAGAGCCCTTCCCTCCAGACTCCACTGCGGCAGCGTCGCAGCAGCAGCATCTCCTGGGGAATCCGCCCCTAACCAAAAGATTGGCGGTACAAGCCCAGTCGCGGAAGAAAGGTCTCTCTCTGATTCTTAAAAAAGAACCAGCCGGTGAAAGCCCCCTGGCTCCGACACACTCTGGCTGGCAGTAACTGCTGGAGGTCGCTGGCTGCTGTCCTGCAAGGCTCTAGCATGTCACCAGGTTTCCTATTGGGAGCATGGGGGGACTCCTGACCCAGCAGGTCACCAGCTTCCCACACCTCCCTGGTAGGGGAGCTCCCGGGGAGAATGTCACTCATCGGAGGCCACGACCACCAAAGGCAGAGCCCGAGAGCAAAGTGGCTTGACACACTCCTCCCCCCATGGAGTCCTGCCTCCGCTTGACCTTTGGAGGGTCCCCAAGCCTCGGCCCAGCAAGATCCCTCCTCCGAGACACACAGCACTCTGCTCACTTGCACAGGGACAAGTCAAGAGCCCCCTCTACTCCGGGCATGAGAGCACCTACCAGCTGCCACTCAGGCACCCGGCAGGCGTCAGGGACCCCCAGGTGGGCAAACACCCCCACCACCACCACCACACAGAATCTGCATTCTGCTGAGACCCACTTGCCCATGCCTCCCCACACACAACAAGCAGCTGCATTTCTGGGGCATTTGAGCCTGTGAGTCCCTAAAACCCACCAAGAATGCTCCACCCCCTCCTAAGTGCGTGACACTCTGGGTGGCTGACCGGGCCTCCGAACCTCATCCAAGAGAACAGGTCCCAGAAAGGCATGCTTGTTTAATTAACCCAATCTGAAGCCTCAACTGCTCTTCAGAAAGAGTTCAAAGGCACCCTGGGGGTGTGCCGGCCTCCTCTTCCACCAGCGGTGGGTCCTGTGGTACAGGGCTCTTCCGGCTCCTTCACTCACTCAGCTACAAACCTAAACTCAACCTTCTAGGCCCCAGTGGGAGGGCTATATCCGCCATCAGAGCCCATCCTCGGGAACCCCCAATCCAAGTAGAGACCGCACCTGCCTACTTTGTCCCAGAGAAGCGCACAGAGCTGCCTGTCACTCACGTCATGAACCTAAGCCAAGCTCCACACAGCACCAAGAGCCAAAGCAATCTTGAGCTAGCCCAACCCTCACTGCACAGGTGACCCCTGACACCAAGAGTCCTTATGCTTATGACAGCAGCGTTCCGACACCGGGCCGGAGCGGCCATCGCGAGCACACCGACAGCCCTCAAGCCAGCTGCTATCCGCTAACTGGGTGCACGTGACCTCGGGGTGACTCTGAAGTGAGGAGCCTCCCACCGCAGCGTCCCTTCAAAGGTGGCAACGCAAGACCTGAAGCCGTCATGTGTACCTCCAGCGGCACCAGTGGCTGCTGGGGTCAGCCAGGAAAACGGTTCTGAAATCCTTGCTGAGGGTGCGGGTGGACATCTGATCCTACCCTGACGTCTATAACGTGCTTTCTAGGGAACCGGCCAAAATGCAAACAAGTTTAGAGGGTTTCCGCCTTGCTTAGGGGATACTGGGCTCCTGGTTGAGATGATGGGAAGCTGGGGGAGCAGAGAATGGGGACCGGTGGCCAACAGAGTCAGCATAACCAGTGAGAGGTCACTGAAATGTGTGTGTGAGGAATGTCGGGGCGGCAAACGTAACATTGTTTGTGCCCCAACAGGGGTGGGGAGCAGGCACCCGGACACAGAGTGAAGCCAACGTTGCAAAATAGGTTTCAGAAGCTTCTACGACCTTGTGATCCCAGCCAGTGTCCATGGCCCTGGATTTCTGGTATCTTAACCCAAGGAATGTGGAGGAATTGGCGTTTGCACAAAAATGTCTAGTTACACAACAAAGATAATAGCAAGCCGGTGCCTCCAGTGGTAGCCAGGCTCCCACCACAGCCCTCAGAACAGGAGGATGGGAATCACCACTCACCCCGGAGCTGCCCAATGAGGCAGGGCTATCCTAATGGAAAGCGTCTTCAATTCAGCATTACTAGGAATGAAAAAACGGCAGTCTAATTGAAAGAGGAATCCTTTCCCCATTACTAATAATGAAGCCCTCATTAAGAGATAAAGACAGAGGAAGAGGCCAGTCTGAAGATAAGAAGCCGCGTTCCTACTGTGGTAAACAACCATCTTTTCTCAGAAAACCCACTGCCAGCTCCCTGCTCAGAGCCTGGGCCCCAAGGTGTCTCCAACCCTCCCCAGTCTCTCCTCACTGTTCCCCCAAATGGTCCCCTTTCTTGTTGGCTCTTCACAGAGGGGATCCAGGCCAGAGTGACATCTCTCAAGTTATGTTTCTGCTGAAAGCCATCGCGTCCTCCCATGTGGACTCTCCCACACAGGGGCCTCTTCTCCTCGAGGAGCAAGAAACTGGCCAAGGCTGGTGGAGACTGTTCTGAGCACAGTGCATGCATCGTGAAGCCCAGCCTATTCTGCTAGGATTTCTGCTCCCTGGACCCAAGGAGTATAAACACGAAGGAAACAAAAATGTAAACTAATAAACTTGTACAGAGAAGTAGTACTTCGGCCGTGATTGCCAAAACTAGTCAGAGTAGAGCAGCCTGCTCGTGTCCCTGCACTTTGTGAGGGACAATCGTTGCTCTGGGCCTCGGGGACGGAAGGCTGAACTGGCTCTTTGAGAAAAGTTCCCGCCACCACACCTTGTAAAAAGGTAAACGAAGCTGAAGGGGCCAGCCAGGACAAAGCGCTCTTTCTCCAAAAGGAAGAAACAGAACGCTAAAGGTAGCTGGGAAGGGTCCAGGGGTAGGTGTGAGCGTGTGTTGGGGGGGTGGTGGTGGTGCCCTTGACAGTGTTTTGAGAGACAGGGTGAGTGTGAGAGAGACTGTGTGTGTGAGTGGTTAGTGTGTGTGAATGTATGTGTGAATGTATGTAAGTATGGGAAAGAGTATGTGTGACGTGTGAAATTATATATGCATGTGAATGATTGGCGTGTATGTGTATGTGGGAGAGGAAGAGAGACAGAGTTTGTGTGTGTGTATGTGTGAGAGAGAGAACATGTGTGTAGAAGTATGTCCTGAATTTCACGGATTTAGCATTTCTCCACTAACCGTCAAGTGGAAGCAGAGGACTAAGGCGGGGAGACTCGGTCCTGCTTGTTCTGTGGAAAACGCCTGAAGGCTTGTACCCTGCAGGTACTGATCTGACCAGTCCGGCCTGTAGGCAGCATTCCCAGAGGTTCAGGACAAGGCATGGGAGAGCACCTCTTACCCGGCCGGGCCCACGCGGGCCGGGCTGGGAGGTCCAGGCTCGGGGCCCTACCTGCTGGGTGGGCGTGTACTTCACGGTGTGGGAGTAGTCGTAATTGTCGATGATATCCAAGTCCTTCACCGCGTCGCCGGGAAGGGGGCTGCTGAACTGCACGTTGAGCGGGGCTTTCCCGGCCCCTTTGGTGTAGACCGTGAAGTGGGTTGGCTTTCCGTTTTCCACACCTGGAAGGGCAGACTGTGAAGTGAGGAGGCAGGCGGACCAGAGTGGTTCCACTTTTAAAACCAGTCTGGCGGGTGCTAGCACGCCAGCTCTGTCTGGCAGGCGGACACAGCCGAAGTGTCAGGAGCTGGTGGCCAACAGCGGACGCAGGCCGGCACCTCTCCTACATCAGAGCCCGCAGAGCCCCGGCCTGGGGGGGTGGGGGGAGTGGCGGGGGGACGGTCCACCGAAGTCCTGGGGCAGGCACGCCCACCATCACTGGCCCACAGATAGCCTCCTGCACACGCCGTCTCACCTGCCTTGCTGAGCCCGGGGCCTTCTGCCCTCACGTTGCTGGCATCGTGGGAAGGGTCAACTTTGACTCGGAAAGGGCTGGCGGGGATTTCCTGTGGGGGAGACACTGTCTCAGTGGAAATCCCCGGAGCAGTTGCCGGAGCTGAACCTTATGCCCAAACACAGAGGAAGCCTTCGCCTGACTCTTGCTTTGGGGAGTTGTGAGCAAACTTCTGTCATCACAGGCCGGGTCTTCCTAGTCTAATATCAGGTAAGGGTCACAGCCGGTCACTTGCTAATGCCTACCTTCCCCAAACCAAAGGCTTTGACCCATTTTCTGAATAGGCTCAGGGAGGTTTTGCATAGGACATCTACAATCTCAGTAACACCAAGTGGTGAGGAAGCCGAATGAAACACACCAAGAGTAAAGCAAGCCTCTCCCAAAAGTGATGGAAGGGGAACCAAAGAAAGGTCCTCCCCGGACAGCTAAGAGCTACAGTCTCAGGAAGGCTGAGGACCCATTACAAAATGAAATGACCCATGCATCAAAGACAGGGACTGAATGTAATCAACGTCAATGAATTATACACATAAAAACTGAATTGGCAAGTGATGGTCTATTTTATGTATATGTGTGTAAATATGTGTGTAATATACATATAATACATATATATATTATACCCACACAAGGATATTGCAGATAAGCAAGTATAAGTATCAAAAGGCAGGTAGAACAGATTAACTGGATTAAGTCAACTCAAGATAATCCTCAGGTATAGAACCTTTTCCTGAGGTACCTATTTTTACATAAGGCTCATTTTAATCACCAGGATCCCATTTTTTCCTCATATATTGGGATATTATTTTCCCTATCTGCAGGTCCTATGCAAAGAACGCTACCTGAAACCGTATTCCTATAAAAATTTAAGGGGGTGGGGGGGATAAAGTCATTACTTCAAAGAGGTCAGAGTAGAACACACCTAGAAGTTAATTAGGTTTCAATAATAAAAATGGTAAACATTTATAATAGACCAGGCTCTTCCCAGAGTCTTGCTTTTAACCACGAAACCTACTGCCTCATTTTTGTTAGAAAATGGTAAGAATTGAGTTCTGGGGGGGAGATGCCTCCTCTGTGGTGAATCACCCCGAGAGAGAGAAAAAGCCAGAGAGGACCCAGGCCTCCCCATCCCCCTCCTCCCAGGGCCAAATACAAACCTGAGATGCAAAGAGAACTTTGATAGTGTACCGCCCGGCGGCGGGAGGCACGTATTTAACTGTGAAGGTGTCATTGGCATTGTGAATAATGTCAAAATCCACGTCTTGCTCATCTTCACTTAACACCCGAGCATCACACTTAATGCCAACGCTGACATCACCTGGAACAGACCGGCTATTTAGTAACAGTTTGCAAGAAACTGCATGCCCGCGCCATCACTTCCAGCTCGGGTTAGCACACCAAAAAAAAGCAATTGGGAAGCTTCCAGTAATCAGGAGGAGAAAGGGCTGGCGTAAGGCAGGTTGGGAGAGGAGATGGAGGATCAGCCAAAGAGCTGACACAGACACTCATTAGACTCTAGATAATTACCGTCCCCAGGTGGACTACTTCCTGGTTCAACATGCATTGCCCGGGAAACTTTACAAAAGACCTTTCTTCCCCCACAAGGGCAGTAGCCACTGCTTCGGGTGGCATGCCTATCTCACCTTCGCCGGCCTCGGTGCAGTCTACTGTGAAATGAGTAGGCTCATTCGCCTTCAGGCCACTTCTCTCCACCCCTGGCCCAAACACGTTGACCTTCTGGGGATGGCTGCCTTGGCCAATGTTGACCTGGGTGAGATGGGGAGAGAGTGGTTATACGTCGTTCTCCTACACCTGGACCCAGGAGACACGGTTAGCTGGAGACCACACGGACAGTGGGGAGTACTTTGTTTTCTTTCAGTTCACGCATCTTTCATGACCTATCAAGGATGAGGTCCTTTCTGCCTCGGCCCCCTAGGCCAGGATTCCGCTCACAACCTACCCTGTAGGGGCTGTGTGGTATGTTCACGCCTCCCCATACCACCGCGATGGTGTGCTTGATGGCCTTCAGTGGGGTGTACGCGCAGGCAAACGTCCCGTCCATCCGGCTCTTCATCTGGATGTCAATGGGCTGGCCTTCCCCATCCTGCAAGAGAGCCGAGACTGGGAACAGAGCCGGCCCTCACACAGCCTCCCCAGACAGCAAGTCGCCACTCCCTCAGCCGACCAGAACGGATTGAGCAAGTGCCATGGGCCGTGTCCTCACAACACAAAGGCAGGTGGCAACATCGCACATACACTTACGTCCTCTGAATGTAATCATTAACTGTTTCATGAGGAGCGAATGCCCAACGCAGTGAATGTCACAAAAATGACGCTGTGCACTCAGGAGTGAATAAAATGACATTTTTTGGTTATGTACACATTTTACCACTCAACTCAAAGGGGGTGGGGTGGGGTGGGGTGAGTCGGGAATGATCCAAGAAGAAACTCATGGCTACTCAGTACTTCCTAATGTCAAGTCTGGCATTTACATTCTTTGGCCAAATTCAATGAAATAGGATAAGCAGATGATAAAAATAAAAGAATCTCTCCACTCCTTCCCTCTACCCTGGCCTATGTAGCCTCAGACACACAGAAGGGCACTGCGGGGTAAGCCGCAGCCGCCCGGCCTTGTGTCCATGGAATATCCATCGTGGCGATGGGAGCACCTGCTGCCTTACCTGCTAGACTCTGATTTAACCTTCACATCACCCCGAGACAGAATGTTTATAATGTCCATGATGTGGAAGAGGAAACAGAGGACCGGGGATGGGGCAAGTTTCTTGCCATTACATTGAGATATTTTGTCACCTGCTGACTGCCTGCACAGGTCACTGACCTGAGCAAATATCTTCAAGGGCGCTTTCCCAGCATCTTTGGGATCCACGGTGAACTCAGCCAGGTTGTTGACGATGCACCCAGACTTCTCCAATCCCGGCCCATATGCTTGAACCTGGGGAAAGGGCCGGTAATGACTACCTTTCTGGGCAACGGCCCAACCAGACCCTGACCTGAAGACTGGTGGCAGGAAGTGGGAGGAGGACACAGCAGCACCTGGCTTGACAGTCGCTTTGAAACAGGATGGCTGGAGAGATAACCGGGACAGGAGGCTGGCACTTGAAAATAACAGCAGAAAGGGGGAGTCTGTTTAGGAAGCGCCGAGGGTCTGTTTATGGTAACGGCAAACTGGGCCATGGAAACCGGCAGTGGTTGCGCATGATTCATGTAAGTATGTCATTGCACTGAACATGAGAAACAAGATTGAATTGGAAAATGTTATATCTATATTACAATAATAACTTTTCTTTGTTAGATAAGTATCTTATTAACCTCTCCCGAGGGAGAAAACGATCTAAAATCAGGCCCCAAACCAACCTGAAGCATCCTGTATGATTCTGAGCCGACACAAGGAACTTGTGTAACTGGGGAATGCACTTCTACTATAGCCAATCTCACGGGCTCCCACTTGTAGGAAAATAAGTCTTAAAGCTCAAAGAGCATGAAGTGGGTAGCAATTGGCCAAAGACGCTACCGGCTTGGATCAAAAAAAGCCAAGTGGACAAACTGCAGTGCACACCTGGGGGCCTGGAGAGTAGCCGTCTCCTGTTATCCCTCGGCCTGTGAACAGGTTTGAGATGAGGCCGCTCGGAGGCATTGCAAACAGCGAAGAGAGAGCGCTGGAGGCAGAGTGGGGCGGGGAACTGGGCACAATCTGCCTTCTCCCGGCCCGGCATGAAACAACGACAGAAAGCAACAAGACCGAAACATGATGCTCTGAGCTGCGAAGGAAAAGCACCTGCAGAGTCTCTCAGGTCTCTGTGCAGACGACCTTCTCGGGTTTCCCCAGAGGCCAAGAGATACCAAGTTAGGGAGGTAAATTGCTTGAGCAACATCATGCCCAATTGATACCAACAGGCTTCAAACTCAGGACCACCTCTTCCTATATTCTACCTGGCTCCTCTCTACCCTTTCTCAATCTGAAACCTATGGCAACACTCCACACAGCGGGGAGGGAGCCGGGAACCAAGAGAGAGAGGACAAAACCAGCAGAAGGAGTCACCAGGTCTGGGTTGTAGTCCCCCGAGGCTGGGTGGATGAAGGCCATGTATGGGCTGTCCTTGATGTCTTCGTCATCGCACATGATGTGAACCGCATACTCGCCAGGCTCCTTGGGCCAGTACTTGACATCACACGACCCGTCGTTCTGGTCATCATACTCAATCTTCGCCTGAGAGGGGCCTTCGATGGCAAACCCTAGGGATGCAATAGGAGGATGCCCAGGTTACAGCGTGTAAAGAACTCATTCCATGCCACCACCCACTCAATCCCTCTGGCTCCCTGAAAAGCCCACAGCTGCCAAAAGGTTGTAATCGGTTCGGGTCCCTTCCCCACAAAACCAAGCCTACTGAGCAGTCACCAGAGATGGAGGAAGAGTTGGAGTCCATGTTTTTATGTAAGACCATCTAACTGGGCAAAAACCTTCTATTGGTACTATGGCAACATCTACCAGTAGTCTTGAAGCCACGCCTGCCCTTGGCCCCACCAGAGCCACTTTGGGGCATTTATCTGAAGGAAATAGCCAAGGATCTGTGTAAACAGCTACACACACGAGTACGCACTCAGCATTGTGTTTATAGCAAAACTCTGGGAGCAACTCAAGAACTTAACAATAGATCTATCCATACAATGGGATTCCAGGGAAGCCATAGACCATGAAGCATATCCTATATTTAACCGGTACAGAAAGAAAGATGTCCACCAAACGGTCCAGACAGCAACTGAACATAGAAGAAAGAAAATGTAAGAAGCCTGGAAGGATATACCACAAAAGATCGGATGTTGTTTCTCCAGAAATAGGATATCTTATTTTCCCTTTTTGTTTATTTCTGTTGTGGCTCACCAGAGCACAGCCTGTGGGCCAAATCCAGCCTGCCGCCTTGTTTGGGAAATGGTTTTCCTGGCAGATAGTCACACCCATTCATGGACTCATCGAAGGTGGCTTCCCGCTATAATGGTGAAAAAGGCATCCTGACAGAGACCATAGAGCTCACAAGCTGAAAATATTTGCTCCCTGGTCCTCAGTAGAGAAAGTTTTCTGACTCCAGTTCTAAAATGCTCATGCATGGAACAGGTATATATATTAAAAATAAGAAAAAAAGCTTAGCTAGAATCCAAAGAATGTACTCACTCACCTAAATGTTAACACCAGCAAAATCCACTCACTGATTCATCCAAACTAAAGCTCAGTCAGGTCAGTCCACGATATTTGCTGAGTACCTACTGTGTTCTACGTACTCTTTCAGGGACACACACACACAAAACCCAAACCACTGCCCAAGAGTGGATTCTGACTTCTAGAGACCCTGCAGGGCAGGGCAGGGCAGGACTGCCCATTGGTGACCAAGGCTGGAAATCATCCTGCAAGCAGAGTGCCGCCTTTCTTCGGGTGGGCCATGGAGCACGTTAACCAGTGCACCACCAGGCACAATACCCACAAAGGCCTGTGCCCTCAGGGGGAGGGGGATGAAGGAGAGGCAGTGCCAGAGACAGGCATAGGAAAGCCGAAGTGCAGCCCCGCACAGTAGCCAGAGAGGGGCTTGGGCAACTCCGAGGCAAGGCAGCTGTGGGCAGTGAGGCCAAGGAGAGACTTCTACCACCCATCCTCCCACCCAGGCCGAGCCAGGTCTCCAGGCGCCCTGGAACCGCACTCCCCAGCACCACCCACCCTGAAGCTAGTGCTCAGCTGCCTCCATTTACCTAGAGACCCCACTTCAGAGCCAATGGATTCCACCACGAAGTCCGCAGACCGCCCGACAAGCCCACCGTGCAGTCCAGGGCCCCATGCCCGGACTTTCTGCATGCCTGCTTCAGGGCCAACTTGGACTTCAAAGGGGCTGAAATGAATGAAAGTGGCATTAAAGTCACGCTGAGACGGGGCGGAGTGAAGACAGCCATCGGCGGCCGAGGGACATGCTGCCTACTTGCCTGATCCTTTTACCTGGAGTCCCAGTGTCCAGCCCAACCCTTCCTCCCCACACGTCCCCCACACAACCATTATTACGTCAACAATATAGTGTGATAGGGCTGCCTCCGGGAACTCAGGTGGCCACTGGGGGGGCACTCAACACACCCTGCCTTGCACAAGCCTTCGTGTCATTAACCTAGACTTTTGTGTGCCCCAGTCACGGCTCCCCCCCTCCCCCCGAAACAGCTGTCTGCAGTCAGCTCCAGCTCCTATTGGCCTCCCGTGCAACACAGGGCTTACAATCTCCTGGTTGGACAGTCAAGTCACCAGCCCTTCCTTCCAAGGCCTCTCTGGGTGAGCCAGAAGCACCAGCCTCTCTGTGAGCCGCTGGGCCTGTTACCCGTTTTGTGTGCAGGGTTTACCAAAGCTCAGAGAGTGTGTTCTTCCCTTGACCTTGGTTGTGCTCTACCGAGAAAACCAAGTGGAGTGGGCTTTCTCTCTCTGCCGTGGGGAGTTGAAAACGTGTGCTGAGGTGTCCTCCCCCCAAAAGTCCACTGTCTTCCAGTCGGTGCCGACTCACAGAACTGCCTCTGGGGGTCCCCGAGGCTGTCCAATCCTTATGGGAACAGCAGGCCTCGGCTTGCTCCTGCGGAGCAGACTGGGTGGGTTTCAACTGCCGACCTCGTGATCGCAGCTCTACACTTAACCCATGAACGCCACCCGACCGCCCTGCTCAGACACCCTGAGTCCAAGAACGCCCACTGGGATTGCTCAAGGTTTATTCGGGGTTCCAAGCCGCCCCTCAGGAGTGCATGAGCAAGTACATGCACTCGGGGCATCTACGAACACGCCCACAGGACAGTGTAGCAGATGGGGTGGGGGGGGTGAAGGGGGTGGGAGGGGTGGGGGTACGACACACGGCCGCCATCCCTGGTGGCGCTCGCTCACACATGATTTCAATGTAAGCCGTAGCAGGCTTCACCCGGGCGGGATTCCTGAACAGAGGCATCCATTGAAAAAAAGAGAAAAGCTCAGTTTACAGCAGGGCGGACAGACACACAGCCTGTTTGCTCTCCATTACGGCTGCTTCGGGCCTCCTAGTCCCCCACCAGCCCCAAACCGCCAGCATTTGATTTGAAGCGGGGCAGCAGAAACCACAGCAACTCTCTCAAAAGCGAGCTGCTCTTGAGAACAGGCCAAGCGTCTGTGTGCGGCGCTGCAGGGGGGGGGTTGGGGGGGGAGACGGAGGACAGGACTCCAACAAAGCAGGCCGCTTTCCTTCCTGCAGTCTGGGAAGCCACCAGCCTGCCCTGGCCAAGCACCCCATCCCTCCCAGAGAAGGCCCATCTCCAACGGAGCCTCACCTCTTTGGAATGTGGTGACCCCCCCATGTGATGGCGATGCTGTATTTCCCAGGGGTGCTGGGGTAATACTCGAAGGCGTAGACCCCATCCAGAAAGCCTTTTTGTTTCACCAGTGCCTCCAGACCTTCTGTTGGAAAGGAGCAGACAGTTACTCAGCTTTGCAGAGTGAGAGCCCGGAGGGCAAGCGCTACATTAACAAGACATCAGCAACCGAGGAGGACTGAGTGGACAGCCTGGGGTGTCAACCACTTTCCATGAAGCCAATTCTGACCCCAGGCCCCGTGAGTATCAGAGGAGAACTGTGCTCCGTGGGGCTTTCAAGGGCAGGATTTGGGGAAGCTGATCTCCTGGTCTTTCTTCCGAGGCTTCCGAGGATGCGTGCGGACCTGAACCGCCAACTTCAGTTAGCCACAGGGCACATTAACCACTTGTGCCACCACAGGGACTCAACCTCAGAGCGTGGGGTCACCAAAACCCTGGAGATTTACTGCACAACTGAACAGCCCCCATCCTCTGCTGCAGAGATGGGCAAGAGGAAGATTTCCCAGCTTGCTAGCCTCAGAAAGAGAGAAAGAAAGAGCTCCTGGGTGTGAGTGGCCCTGAGGTCTGAACCTCCTGGGTCTGTTTAACTATCCATCCAGTCACTTCTCAACCTTAACTCCGCTTTTCCCAACAGGAGTAGCCTCCCTCTCAGCCTCCACAAAAGGTGGAGAAGAGAAAGGACCTTTTGAGTACTGGGCATGCGTTTCAGGTGAGTGTCCCTGTGTTTTCAATTGACGCTAGATCATCAAAACCAGAAGGCTTTCTCATATATGTTACCCCTCAAACTATACCGAGCCATCAGGCAGGAACTTGTTTTATGTCAAGCCCCGAGGTTTGGCCAGGAAAGCTGTTGAGTCAAACAAGACTCCAAGGTCAGGAGAAAACAAAACAAAACAAAACACCTCCTTGGCTCCTGCTGCAACAAGCCTGGAGGAAGGGCAGCCCCAGAGCAGCCTGGACTGCAGGCCTCAGCGGTCTAGAACCTTGGCTGCCTTAGGGCCACGGCCTGCTCCGAAGCCTCAGCACGCAGATTTAACCCTCCGCTGAATAGAACTCTCCCACCCCACGGCCCCTGGGGACACGCAGGGTGAGAGAGCCCAGGAGTCCACAGGCACAGGAGTGAAACAGCCAGGGGCAACTACCCCCATGGGGTTGATCTGTCCCCGAGGAAATCCTGAGGGTGGCGGGCAGAGACCGGCCCCTTTAACCTCTGTCCCCTTCCCAAAGGAGGAAGTAGGAAAGGTAGGTGCAGACCGGCCCTCCAAGAATTATATTTATCTGCAATGGAAACTTAATCTTAGGGAATTTTAAATTCCTTCTATAAGCACTTATCATAGTCATTAGCTACCTGAGATAATTTCATAGTCTATGAAATGGAACCTGCAGAGAGACAATCACAGGCTTTGCAGGGCAGGGCTGGAATGCCAGCTCCAGGGCTTAGAAGCTTGTGGGCCATTCCCCTCTGGACCTAGGTATCCTCAAATAAATGCCAGGTCACCCTGAGTTGTTCCAAGGGAAGCACTTCCCCAACTCTTACATCATTGATAGAGAATGTGAGGTTACCAAGTCACCCACTGTTCTCCCTTATATCCCGGCCAGACATTACCAATCGATCACTGCTCACCACCACCACCTGCCCTCCAGAGAGTCCAGAGAGCTCCAAATCTTCAACCTATCTCTCTGGGCAAATAAGTCAATGAGACTGGCTGGCCATGGAATGAAATCCATATACCACGACTGCAGAGTTAACCCAAATCACACCCGAGGTAGGAGAAGCAAAGGTGTACTTACTAGGACCTTTCACGGTTACGCTGAGCTCCCCACTTCCGGCAGCTTTGGTGTCAACCTTGAAGTCGGCAGTCTCTCGGATGCGGACGCCTTTGGGCTGCAGGCCTCGGCCACTGGCCCGGCAGGCGTTTGGACTGCAGGCTGCAAGCAGAGTTTCCACATCAATTCAACCTTTCACTCTCCCAGTCAGGAGTGGAGCAAGTCAAGGTAAGTCAGAGCCATCCGCCAAGAAAATGTTTGCTTTGTACAAAGAGCGGGCAGCACTTGCCTGAGACCAGGGTCCCGCTCAGGGAGCACACCCGGTTAACAAATACGGATAGGACATAACCCTGTCCAGCCACACCACAGAGGGACCGGGGAAAAGTTGCTTTGGCAAAGAAGACCGGAGAGCTCAGCAAACCATGCTGTGCTCCTGGTACCGGATGAAGTCTGGCTTTTATCTTCTCAGTGGTGGGGGCGCAGGGGGCAGGCGGAGGAGTTAAGGAGGGGTGCTGGACAACGCTCCGACCTCACTGCCATCCCTCGAGGGCCCGGTAATTGGGAAGACTGGGTTTGTTCAAGTCTATTTGGAAGCATCTGACCAGATTCCAAACTCTGGGTCAGCCATTTCTAAGTCTAATCCATGTTGCTGCCTTCCAAGTAAACTGGCAGGCAAAAACATATCAGCGAATGGCTGGAGCCAGGGGAGACCCGTTCAGGCTCCAGGTTGGCCAAGGCAGGCCAGCCTTTGAGTGCTCTCTGTTACAAGATGCTTGGAACCAAGTGGCTACCAAGGCAGCATTCGCAGCAAATACCACCGTGGATTTCTTTTCTGGATCTAGTTTGAAAACCCCAAAGTCTTAAGCATTAAGGACAAAGGTAGCGTCTCCTATTCTTTGCACGAGAGGCCCACAAAACGACTACCTCATGGTGTTAGACTACCTCGTGGTGTTAGCCAGAAAATGTTAGATGGCTGATAGAAGACATGCTTGTAGCCTATGAGTTGGGGGGCGCAGCGTGGGATACCTTCTCGTGAGGTACAGAAATGGGAGAGGAGTGGGTGGAAAGTCGTGCTGCTCCATACGTGGCTTTCCAAACCTGACACTGCATTCCACGACTCTATGCTCGCTACAAGGTCACGGTGCCCAGGTGGTGGAGAACCTTCTTCCCGCCACAGAAGCCAGGCGCTTCTCTTCTGGCCCCTCCTCCCCAAAGCAAAGGCCTCGGCTGGCTTGTGGGAATCACGGCTTCCCAAAGAGTCTTACCCACACCCCTGGGGTAGAGTCAGGGGCAGTTTTAGGTGGCTCCTGGATGAGCACAGTTTGAAAGTTGAGAATTCGCGGTGGCACTCAGACAAGTCACACTGGCTTTCCATACATGAAAGTGGTATCTAGTGGCTTGTTAATATGAAATCATTTCAGTGGGGGCTGGAGGTTTAACAGCTGAACATTAGTGCTCTACTCATTACATACCAAATAAGAAAAGTGAAGGCTAGATACGCCAGAAATGGAGGGGGCAGGGGAGCAAGTAGCCCAAGATTAGGAAACACTATTAGATATAGAAGAGCTGGTCAAAATTCTTTCATATGACAAAAAAGAGAGCAATTTTTCTCATGTGTGCAGGATATTTTGGGTTCTTTTTGTTTGTTTTTTTAAAGGTGAGAAAAGTTCAGCAGAGGCTAGTTACAGCAGGATGACCAGACTTCTCTGTGTGTTTTTAAAAAGAAAAGGAAAACTCATGTAAATTCTGAATGGGGACAAGTCTTCATTGCCAAGTTCATACCGACACCACAGGGAGCTGAAGAGTCTGAAGGAAACCACCACATTCTCCATTGTGTCAAACCTTAGAGAAGTTACAAAGTATCGCTTCTCGGCCTTTGGGCTAAGATCAAGGGTAGAGAAGTTACAATGTAACCAGAGGGAGGGCTTTGGGGTCTGGCTGGACACGCTGCAATAAGGTCTGCACAGGAATTTCCTAAAACCACAAACATCATCTACTCAGCGGTCATTGGCAAGCAGCACAAAGAACTAGCAAAGAAGCCCCACCCGGCCAGCCCTTACCAAGCAAGTTGCTCTGGCCCAGTGCTGTCAATTAGGAAGTCAACAGCTTTGGGGTCCAGGCTGGCCCAGAGGCGAGATTCAGAAGAGGAAGCCAAGTCTGAAGGTGCAGATGCCGAGGACAGAGAAGAAAAGGAAAGTATGTGTTAGAAAAGGCAACCGAGTTGGAAAACATAAAAAGGCAACAAAATTAAGAGGAGAGAGGTTATTTAACCTTAGAGGAAAACTGCTCTTGGTTGCAGAGAGGGCTTAGCAGAGTGGTTAAGGACACGCTCTATGGAGAAAGAGACCGGGGTTCTGTTCCCAGCCCTGACACCTAGTACTAACTCACTGATTGATAACTTCTCGAAGCCTGAGCCCCTGTCTGCATACTGGGGAGAATAACAGCACCTAACACCCAGAGGCTGGTGTGGTGATTAGAAGGAGTGCCTGGTAGTCAAGGTCACGCAGGGGAAGCTTCAGGGCACCAGCCCCACCTTCACCACTCGCTGCCAGCCTGGGCCACAGACGCCAACTCCTCCAGCGGCCTCCTCGATCAGGGAGGATGGGCTCCGGGGCTCAGACATCCTAGGGAGGATTCCCTAGAGTCAATGAGTGTGAAAGCACCACAGGGGAACGGGTTTCCTATCTGGAAAACAGAGGAAGCTACTTCCCACTCGAAGTCAGCCCTGGCAGAAAGGGCCAGGTGCCAACTGGACGTTGGGCCATGGTCATTTCCTGGCCCTGGTGCCCAGCAACACGCAGACTTGGTGCCTGAAGCACAGGCCAGAGAGGCCCAAAAAGTACGTGGCAAAAGGCCACTACCATCTCTTCATTCCATTCTCCCACGTGCTTTGGAAGCCCGCTCAGTAGCCCGTCACCCTCTCACTCACCTTCTCCGACCTGCACAAGGAAGGGGCTCTTGGGAATAGTGTCGCCGGCAAAGGAGACCTTGACCACGTGGGGTCCGGGCTGCACGGGTTTGTACACGCAGCGGTACACCTGGTTCCCTTTGTCTTCCACAAGCAGCTCCACGGTGTTCTTCCCCTGGGGGTCCTCCACCTCAATACCAATGTCGCCCACGCCGGCGCCTGGGAGAGGGTAAGTTGCAGGAGTCTGAGCTCTCCCTGCCTCGAGGACCCAAGCAGGGACCAATTGCAGAGACGAGCAGACAGGCCGGCACTGGGGGAGGTCTGCACCAAAGTGTTAGTAACCACTTTCTTGGGGTGGTGTTGGAGGTTAGAGCTAAACATTTCCCTTTTTTCACCATGTTCTCTATTATCAAAACGTCCACAGGGACAAGATAGTGCGTGCGCAAAGGACCGTCCTACTCAGACCTTTCTCCCTCCCACCTGACCCAGAACCTGGTCCAGTGACTGTCTCTCCAACTTAGTTCCTTCTCAACATTCATTCAGTCAAGTTTGAAATGTGCAGAGAACTTGATTCGGCTATCGAAAATCAAAACTCACATGTGGACGTGTGCATATCATTTTAAGGACGAAAAGCAGACTTTGAAGAACTCTAGGGGTATCAGCAACATAGCTGCAAAAAGCTATTTCAGTTGTCATTTGCTTGGTTTAAAAGACGGAAGGATCGTAAAACCTTAAACCAAAAGTATACGCCCCTAAGTCTTATTAGAGCAGCTGTTCTCAACCTGCGGTTCTCAACCCCTTTGGGGGTAGAAAAGGGTCACCTAAGACCATCGAAAAATATGTATTTCCGATGGTCTGAGGAACCGAGACACCGCTCCTCTATCCGTCTCCAGGCGTGTCCACCCACAGGCAGATATGCCCACCTACGAGTACTGGGGTGAAGACTGTTACCCATGCTACATCAGCTTCAAGACAAAATGTCATTAACTTGTCATTAGAAATAAATATTTCACAATACAGAATGACATTTTTTGTGTGATTCATCACAATGCTTTAATGATGTTCGATTTGTAACAATGAAAGTACATCCTGCCTATCAGATATTTACATGACGATTCATCACAGTAGCAAAATGACAGTGATGAAGAAGCAACGAAAGTAATGTTATGGTTGGGGGGTCAGCACCACACGAGGACCTGTCTGAAAGGGTCGCAGCATGAGGAAGGTGGAGAACCCCTGTGCTAGAGTAAAGAATGACTTAGCAGGTAAAGAACGTCCGCCTTGAACGCTGGTCCTTGAAGATCTAGTGACATGGGATCACACTGTTGGCCCCAAAGGTTGATAGGAAATTGAGGGCAGTGAGTTTATGTGAATGGGGGAAGGGGAGGGGGAGAAGGGTTAAGAAAGTATTTCATGTCACTGACTTGACATTGAGTGATATTTTTATAAATTCATCATACGTATGTATGTACACACACACACACACACACACACACACACACACACACGGGGCTTCAAAAGGTCCAAGTAAAAAGGGAATTGAAAGATCATGAACTCTTACCACAAGCGTTTTGAACCCCTGCCCCCCAACCAACTCTCCCCAACCCCTGACCCTCTACTTTTAAAAGCATAATTAATCAATAAAAGACAAAAGGTTAGCCTTCCGGTTCCTGAGGCTTTTCTTTGGGGCTTTGGAAGAAAGGGCGGAGGGCGGGTCCACAGGAGAGGCATGTTACCTGCTGTGTAGATGTCGAAGTAAGTGGGCTTGTTGGCGATGTTCCCTGCCATCTCCAAGCCTGGCCCTTTCGCAGTGACCTTGCTAGCATCTCCCTGGGCCTTGTCCACATTCACTTCAAATGGGCTCTTGGAGATGTGCTGTCCTGCAAAGAGGACTGTGACCTGTAGGTGACAGACAGGTTGAGATACCGTCACCGAAAAACAACACACCCTCTGCCAGCAGCCCATACAAAAGGTGCTCCACCCAGAAGCCCTGAACTGCAGTGGGCAGCCCTGGGTGGGCCTCCACCTGGCCCCAGGAGCCATACGTCTGGGCCTGGGGTCGTTTGCTTTCATTGTAGGTGTTTAGGTGCCATAAAACAGATTCCAACCCACAGTGACCCCAAGTGGCAGGACAGAACTGACCCAGAGGGTTTCCCAAACTGTAATCTGTATGGGAGCAGACTGCCAGATCTCCTGCCCTTTATGTCACTGCGGTGGGGTAGGGTGTTGAACTGCCAACCTTTTGGTTAGCAATCAGGTGCTGACATGTTGAGTGGCCAAGGCTTCTTATCTCTAAATTAGGCTACTTTCAGCCAACTGAAAGTGCTTCGGTCAGTACGCTTAGCCTCTCTAACAGGAAATGGAAAAGTCATCAAGGCACAAGGCTCTGGACTTGGGGGCCTTCATTGATGGGGTGGGGGGGCGGAATTGGCAGAAGGGCCAACTCTCGCCTAGATTAAATCCAACAGTCCAGGAGTTCAAAGCTAGAACCAAACATTTTTAGAGGCTACGCTCATTCTCGGATACACGGGTTTGAGACAAAGTGTTGACAATCCCCATCTAACACTTGAGTCACAGTTCTCATCTTGGAACTTGTGCAGGGCCACTGGGTGGGGTTTTGTGTGAACTCACACTTCATTACAATGAATCGACAGCATCGTCAATGCTTACTTCCAGATTTAGGAGACGGCAACCTAAAGCCCTAAGCTCCAGATGAGTTTACTCAAACCCAAAATGGTGAGTATGGGGTCTCAGACTGTACTTGGGATTGACCTTCATGAGCTGCTGGGGACACCTCAGTCTTCTGTAAGACAAGCTCCCTTAGACCCCAAGGCCCACAGGCCAACTAGATTCAATCTCAAACAGAGCTTCAGAATGTGGCGGGGCTATAAAGGGCCAGGGGCCTCCACTATAGTCACTTGGTCCCTACCACACCTGAGCCTCAATGCTGACAGCTGGCTCAGAGCAGCCGGAGGGGGAATACCCCAGGAGAGCCCCAGGCTTCACCACCATGGCACCTGCACTCCAGACAGGTCACTACAACCAACAGTTACTTAGACGGAGCTAGAAAAATTGAAGGACGTTGCAGAGAGCTTAGGGCAGATCAAGCAGTCAAGGTGTATCAGCTCACGTCTCAGGTCTGATTCATGAAGATCCCGTTCCAAACTGTCTACAGTAAGTGTGAATCATTCTACAACCAGGAAGAAAACGTCTTTCTTTCTCCGTTCACGTCTCTCAAAGCCAGCCAAGAAGAGCAGTCCGCACACCCACCCTGGTGCCCCATCTCACCTTGTGCAGCCCGGTGACCTTGGGCAAATACTCCACAGAATACGTCTTGTTCTTGTCACTATCTGGGGTCACTCGTGCCTAGGAGGGAAGGTGTATGACTGTCAGAGAAGGAGCCGTGTGAGGGAGTGTGCTGGATCAGCCCAGGTCCTGTGGTGAGCTGCTGGGCCAAGGCCAGAAGGTGGGGGCAATTTCGTGCTCCCTCATACTGGCAGTTGGGAGTGGGGTACTGGAGAAACAAGTCATAAGATGGAGAGTAGGTGTTTGTTTGACCTCTCCCTCATGATAGTTGTTCTTTGTCTAGCCAAAAGTCAGATAAAGCTACGTTTTACTCGGTTGTTTTCTGGGGAAAATATGGGAAGTAGGAAAATAGAAAGTTTGTAAGCCCACTTGCTTTCAGCCAT